GAGCGCTGCACTGGTGTCGCAGAGGTCAGTGGTTCAAATCCCGTACAGGCCTCATTTTTTTCAGGTCTGATTTTCGCTATTGCATAAATAGTGCTATCTACTCAAAATATATGAAGTTCATATATTCATTGTATCTGAATAATAATAATAACTTGTATAGCGGAAATTCCATACAATGTTCAAATGCGCTTCGCAATAAAATAACACAGTAATAATTAATACAACTATTAAAATAAGATAAATAAAATAAATACTAGAACTACATACATACATGCTCACTTTTTGTATGTATTGTTTATGCATACTCTGTCTTGATGCATGAGCTGTCTCATAACACACCACCTGCTCTATGAACTACTTTTAAACCCCAAGGCTGTAGTCTAGCAGTGCCCAGTGGCCCCTGGTGCCTTACTTTTGCTCTTGGGCACCTCAGGAATTTTAGTTTTTTTTCATAAAAAGCATATGCTGGGCACCCTAGAATTCACAGTTTCAGAGCACTGGGCTCCATTCAATTTTCCTTAGAACACATGCAGCCTTGAACCCACAAGCTCAATCACCTTTTCCCATGGTTTTATGTAAGACTGCAATACAAAAAGACAAATTGTATACTCTGGTGACTTCCCCTGAACTTTGGTGGCTTTTGTAGCTTTGTAGGTGCCTTTGGAAATGAGACTTACCTAGACTGTCCAGAAGGGATGGCTATAGGCCCTAACAACACCATTTATGTTGCAAGCTTTCTTAACGATAGAGTTGTTAAATTCTCTCTACCTGATGGAAATTTCTTGGGTGTGGTAAGTCTTTTTTCTTCATTTGATAAAAGGAACAGGTTTCAAATGCCTTTTCCTGTCACTTAATCGTAAATTATTTTAAGAATTGGCCATATTTTTATTATTTACAGGTTGCTGATAAAAGCCATGGGCTTAAGGGGTAAGAATGGCAATAGGGTATGTTGGCAACAGAAAGCTTACAGTAGTTTAAGGTCATTAACAAAACCAGGGCTCTCTCTTATTTAATTTCCTTTTTTCTGTCACTGACTGACTGGAAAAGTCACAGCCTTTACTATCTGAGTGTACAATTCTAAAGTGAAAAGAACAGAAAAGTTCTTGACTGTGTATAGTTATGAATATATTAATTTTGATAAGAGAAGAACAACTTTAGTTTGGTAAAGTGCAGCTAAATCTCATTCCAACCTTCTCACCTTTATCCTTGGTCGCTAAATATATTTGGTAGACAAGTGATCTGTATGTGGCTGGTGCCAGGATCATGTGCACTCGTGAGACAGTAGCTCTCGTGTCAGCTGACAAGGTACTTGACAGTTGTGTTTGATTTCCAGGCCTGAAGATGTTGCATTCTTAGAGGATGGCACTCTTCTTATCTGCAGTTGTGTTTGATTTCCAGGCCTGAAGATGTTGCATTCTTAGAGGATGGCACTCTTCTTATCTGCAGTTGTGTTTGATTTCCAGACCTGAAGATGTTGCATTCTTAGAGGATGGCACTCTTCTTATCTGCAGTTGTGTTTGATTTCCAGGCCTGAAGATGTTGCATTCTTAGAGGATGGCACTCTTCTTATCTGCAGTTGTGTTTGATTTCCAGGCCTGAAGATGTTGCATTCTTAGAGGATGGCACTCTTCTTATCTGCAGTTGTGTTTGATTTCCAGGCCTGAAGATGTTGCATTCTTAGAGGATGGCACTCTTCTTATCTGCAGTTGTGTTTGATTTCCAGGCCTGAAGATGTTGCATTCTTAGAGGATGGCACTCTTCTTATCTGCAGTTGTGTTTGATTTCCAGGCCTGAAGATGTTGCATTCTTAGAGGATGGCACTCTTCTTATCTGCAGTTGTGTTTGATTTCCAGGCCTGAAGATGTTGCATTCTTAGAGGATGGCACTCTTCTTATCTGCAGTTGTGTTTGATTTCCAGGCCTGAAGATGTTGCATTCTTAGAGGATGGCACTCTTCTTATCTGCAGTCATTACAGTGACAGTGTGTTGAAATTCAATTCATCTTCAGGTGAACTAATTATTTACTATTAACCAGCCTCTATTGTTGTGTTGTGTCGTTTTGAGAAGAACATTGATTGATGCTTGATATTGTGTTGCAGGTGAACAGCTTGGTGTGTTTGCTAGAGTGGAAAAACCAGTTGGTTTGACTGTTGGATCTGATGGGTAGGTCTGATCCCCATATCCTTGCCACCCTTTTATTTTTTCTTCTCCCGTCTTTTCCAACATTCCCTTTGTCTATCTTTGCCTCTCTCCAATAGCGTATTCTCTTTCCCCATTTTCTTCACATGTCCCCCTCCCGAATCGCATCTGACCATGTATGACAAATCACCCCTCCTCTAAGCTAGATTTCGAAGGTTCTTTTTTGAATGGACGATTATCTGTAGAACTATTAATGAAGTAAATGTGGTTTCCTTCGCTTTTTAAACTGCAGCAACGTTTATGTGACAAGCTATCTTTCAAACAGTATCCTTCAATTTGATGGACAAACAGGTACTGATGTTATAACTATCTTGTATTGTAATTCCTCATATGTTTTATTATCTCGCGCGCGATTGGTCAAACAGGTACTGATGTTATAACTATCTTGTATTGTAATTCCTCATATGTTTTATTATCTCGCGCGCGATTGGTCAAACAGGTACTGATGTTATAACTATCTTGTATTGTAATTCCTCATATGTTTTATTATCTCGCGCGCGATTGGTCAAACAGGTACTGATGTTATAACTATCTTGTATTGTAATTCCTCATATGTTTTATTATCTCGCGCGCGATTGGTCAAACAGGTACTGATGTTATAACTATCTTGTATTGTAATTCCTCATATGTTTTATTATCTCGCGCGCGATTGGTCTCAACGCATCACGTTATCAAATATGTCCCAGCTAAAACTGGCGAATATCCGAGGCTAGTGAGGCGATTAATAGAGATGTGCTCGCTCCGATTGGTCGAGGATTGTGTCATATCTCGCTATAATCACCGTGCACGAGGTACATGTAATTATAGGAGGAGCGCTAAATTTCAAAATGGCTGTTTCGTGTTTTTTCAACGTTCATTGCAGTACTATTCACCTTCGAGCATCCGAAGAGACAAAACCGTACGTCAAGAGTCTTTCGCTTTATTCAAAGAAATAAACCAATTTTTTGGTATCTGTGTGGTGTATCTAAAACAGTTATACACCTCCACATTGATCAATAATTGTTCTATATAACCCAAGTAATATTCCTAAATTTTCAAACCCTACGCCCACAACGATAAAAGCATTCGTTTCAAATTCAATTCAGGATGAAGGGGCGTTTAGCTATTGTTACGGAAGAGGGGATTTGCGTGTTTGTCCATAGTCGTACGAGAGAACACTGAAAAGTAGACATCTCAGGCAGCACTGGCAAACAGCAAGCTGTTCGTTAAATTTTCCCCGCGCTTGGCAAAATGATTGAAGGATAATAAACACAATAGCCACCATTTGGTGCGAAAATATACTCGCATATTTGTCCTCGAACATTATCTGTTCCTCGAGGCACACACTTTTCCTCGCGCTTCGCTCTCGGAAAATGGCTCGCATCCTGGAACAGATAATGTCTGCGGACAAATACTTTCGCGCCAAATGGAGGCTATTTTTGATCTATAGATAACAAAAGTTTGTATGGTCTGGAGGAGCAGATTGTTTTTAAGGCCGTGAATTATTCAGTACAATTGTATATTTTAAGGTCAGGACTATCTGCAGTCAGTACGAGTCCCTTCCAACCATATGCATTTCCACGGAAGACTGAGGAAAAATTATGCCACAGACTCAACCGGAAACGGTCTTGTTTCAATCCCTTTACCTTAACGAGAACTTCACAGAAAGAATTTAGGTGATCAAGCCCTAAACAGTGTACTTTGACGCTTGTTTCAGGTAATTTTATTGATGTTTATGCTGCTGGTGGTGGCCTTGAAGGACCGTCCAGTGTCAGGTAACCTCTTATACATTGAGAGTATAATTCATGTTCATCCAATCTGTGTTGGTCCCAAAGTTACAATAACCATAAGAGAGATTGTGAACCGCTAAATTCATTCTCAAATCAGCAACGGATACAATTCTTGTTAGGTTGAGCATTTTCGTAATTACCACCACTCCCCGTTCACTTTGTTATTATTTGTTGTTGATTGTATCATATACGATGAATATATGAAGTTCATATATTTTTGAACTGCGGTTATAGATACGTATGATGCACGATCCTCGCAGTAGAGAGCGCTATTTATGCAATAGCGAAAATCAGACCTGAAAAAAATCAGGCCTGTACGGGATTCGAACCACTGACCTCTGCGATACTAGTGCAGCGCTCTACCAATTGAGCTAACAAGCCAACTGGGAGAATCCCGTACAGGCCTGATTTTTTTCAGGTCTGATTTTCGCTATTGCATAAATAGCGCTCTCTACTGCGAGGATCGTGCATCATACGTGATTGTATCATCGTCACTGGTTTTTTTTTCTCGATTATTTCATCGTATTTCTTGTAATTTGTTTTCTTCAACTTCTATTGTTACCGACGTTATAATCAAAGCTCTTGTTCATCTTTAACTGACTTAGTCGTTACGTTTATTAGCTTGAACAAGTTAAGTTCGTCTCGTTCTGCTGTTTTGGTTGTTTTTTTGGTCTCTGTTATTTATCCCACCTCAAATAACCTTGGCAATTAATAACTGATGTGATCGCACTCGCTCTGTTTTACTCTCATACTTCACTCGCCGTTGCCCTTCCGTTGAATCGAAGTGTTTCGTTTCGAACAGTTTTGCAGATCTTCGCACACTGTATGCGGCCAGTTATGACAGCGACAGGGTGGTGTTATATAACAGTACTACGGGACTTACTTATACATTGCCTGGAAAACGCAACGAGCATCCGGGAGTCGGTATGTGTTTGAGATCTTTTATTTTACTTTTGTCTCTTGAGTCTTTTACTTTTTCTGTTTAGACGGACGGCGATGCGACTTTTTACTTACAAGGACAAAGTCATTGCACTGGCTATTCTTGTAGTTACATTTCAACGCTCAAACCTGTTAACAAAAACCGTTATATCCTTGCAACGAATAGACTACGAGCAGTTCCTCTTTTTGAGCAAAGTCCGAGTCAAAAAACTCAGCGAAAAAAAAAAAAATTGATCACGATGTTAGCGCGCTGCGCAGAACCATGGGAGTGAAGCAAACGAAAAATAGATCAAACTCAGTGGCTTAGTCTGTGGTCCCAAGTATTTACCTTTCTTTTGCCTCACTCTCTCGCTGATCTTTTTCGACCCGCGCGACGGACTTCGTAATCTATGCTCCGAAACCAGGTGAAGGGTACTCGCGAATGTATCGATATCTTACACATATTCCGTTCAAAGCGGAAGCTGTGTTCCTCTTGAATAAATTCAAAACAAACCAAAAGTAGATCTAACCTTTTCTTCTCTTACTGGCTCTTGTGGTTGAGACTTGCTGCTCGTCGATATAATTAATGTGACTTATAATAGTCACGCTACTTTTGAATTTAAATCATTTTATGCATCGTAGCTTCTAGATGTTTTTTTCTAGCTTTTTTGGAAACGGAGTCAATGTGATAATTTTTCTGGCGATTTTGGATACCAAAGAAACACTTCAACCTTTTACAATTGGAATACACATAATTTTAGTGTTTTTTGTGTCTGTTAGTCAAAAACGAGTTCGGTGACCCTTTTTTTTATCTTCATTAGGTTATAATAATCATCATACCAAGATTCAGTTTTCTGCAAACTTGCAAAGAAGCAATACATACGTTTTAGGGCGACCTTAATTTCTTATTAGTACCACTTTTTTTTTTTAGAAATGATGGGCCTTTTTCGAATACCATTTTCAAAGGAAAAGAAAGATTGAGTATGGAAGTTACGAACCACAAAACCTTTCGTCCCTAGCCTCAGTTTGGGTAATCCCAGTCTCTACATACATGTACTGTTCTTTACACATTTCCTATACTACTGACTGGGGGAGTGTTAAGTTGGTGATCATTCTGTTTATTCTCATAACGCCAGTGTTTGATCCAGCAGTGATATTGTAGGGAGAAATTTGATACTAATCACTCCCAGGGGTTAAAGGATTAAGGGGTTGGACGTAAAAATGAAAACGTATTGATTCTTCGTCAAACAGTTTCACTGATGATTAAGCGACGTACATACTTCATTTTCAGGTTCTTTTAGGAATGCAACACTCGACAGATAACGTCGTGTCAGAGTCAACCATTGTCATCGACTAGAAGTCGCTAATCAGTGTAACGCTTCTATTGTGAAGAATATTCTAAATTTAAAGTTTTCTGACAAGTCATAAATTGGGATGCAAACAACCCAACGTGAACAGACTTGTTTTCCTTCGAGTGTGTTTTTTATCTATGGAAATCGGTGTCTATGCTAACTACAGTATTAGACAAATGGCATCTAATTGTATTTATTAGTAGAGAGTAAAATTTGTAGATTATATTTCTCGGAGAGAAAAGAAAAGAATCTCTTGGTCACTGCTGAACTCAACTATGTGCTTGACGTCCTCACGAGCCTATTTTGGTTATGAATCGCTTCCAGTGCAGTTGGAATAGGCTCGCTGTTTGTTATAGTGGAGTTTAAGCCGTATAATGTGTTTTTTGACTAGTCAAAATATCAAAATGTGTGCAGGGAACGGAGCTAAAAAGCTGGCCGCCATCTTGGCTGACCGCTGACAACAATCTCTGAGAAAGAACAAGCTTCCAGTCAGGCAAGCTTTCCATGTATTTAGACAGAGGTTCGTTGCCAACTAGCTCCTCTCTACTCCGCTTTTCACAGCCACCTCCTTGGCAATTTCATTTTCGATGGCTTTCGCTTCCAAGTCGCCCGAACGCACTCGTGTTAGAAAGCACCATTGCTAAACTTTCCTGTGCTTATGGCACACGCTAAGAACGTGCGTCTCGCCGTAAAAATCATTCATCAATGGAGTTATGTCCTTTCGCAGCTCTCCTAAGCGTTTTTGTCTGCTGGGTGTTAACCCTTTCGCACCCTAAGATCAGTATCCATGCTCTCCATACTATTATCTATACATTTCCTTTGGTACTATCAAGGAGAATTCGTTTAACAATCGAGGTTGGGGATTATTTTCCTTCATTTTCATGATTCAGACGTATTACTGTAAAGGAGAAATTAAAGGCTGGTCACTCTTAAGAGTTTAAAGAGTTGATACCGACCACAACTCGTTTTGTCTAATGTATATACTTTCAAAACTGGGCTTCTATTCCCAGCCGTGCCGCACAATCGCTGCGAAGGTTTGCCACAAATTTTAGATGCCACTTGGTTTGGATGCGAAATGTTATTTCAAGCATATTTCACACGCATTTTAAGAATGTCCTTTTTATTTTTTCTATTAATTTGAAAATAAATACTGTTAGTCTTAGTTACTCAATCATGACTACGTGAGGTGCTTTATTTAATCGCAGTCTTGAACTGCCTCATACAGTATTCTTTAAGCCCCCATTACTTTTCCTGAAGTCCCCCACGGTCGATTTTCGGCCGTTTTAGAGGGTTACATCGTTCTCTTAACTTTGTGATGCGGAGAAAGGAATGTCCTCAAAGAGAAATTTCCAATTGAGTGTCACCACTCTCTCTCAACCCCAACCGGATACAAAACTAAAATCAGTCACGATTTGGTCACCCACTTTTCCAACGCGTTGGACAGTTTGCTTGCTTTTCCCTTGAGTTCTCATTTGCTCTAGGTCGTTGTATTAAATTTGGTTTTTGTTTTACGACACAATCGAAAAACGCTCTAAAATGGATTCACCCACTTCGGTACTAAGAGGTCCACAGTACGAAGATTTGTAAGCGTGACTTTCGGTTTCAAGTGGGAACTAACTGTCTATTATTTTTGGTCTTTGGCGCTCCTCTGCGATTGTATAAACCGTCGTAGCTAAGCAAGTAAAGAGGCTGGCAGCCAAATGAGGGAATCGCAGAATAAACAAATACATT